AATCAAGTCTGGCTGTCAAGCAATCATGTGACCGCAAGGTTACAACAACAGGAACCTCAAGGACAGTTTTAAGTATCACTCGTTTAGTGCCACTTTAAGTTCAGTCACTGAACAGTGATTGTTAACTGAGGATCACCCATACTTTTCATATTCTCATGCTTATACAGTAACATCTCACAAGAAAAGTAACTTTATTTTGATAACTCATTGTTAGATCATCCTTTGGGGATGATTACATTTCATTTTCTGCCTTCCTGGTCTCCTATCCAGATAATTCCTATAAATTACATAGGTATTTCCTAACAGTAACAGAGCTCTGACAAATATAGCCTTTAGCCTGAAATTGTAGTCCATTCAGTTTAAGAATATGGTCGTTTCGGATTGATTATATGCCATTTTATGGGGGTAGATGTTTCTAAAATGCTATTAAATAATTGTTTTGAAAATATTCAGATGCATAAAGCTCCTAGAGAAAAAAACCTCATTACTAACAAAAAACAAAACAAAAATACAGTGGTTTGAGAATATTATTGAAACTGTTCAATAACTACATTACTGCAGCCACGTTTTACCAACACATCAATGTGGGGAGCTGGGGGAATGAGAATACTTTCAAAACTAAGTTCTAAAACACATGTTATAGACTTGCCTCTTCCACAAGATGGATACCATAATGTCTTTTGAATGGCTGCAGTGTTACACCTCTGGCATTTGTCAGTTGGGTAAGATCTATTGGTTGCGTGGGATCAATTCTGCCTAAGTCAATAAGGTATTGCAGCTTTCTGAGACTGATAGGTGGATATTGACGTCTGAGACTGTGAAATGAAAAGAAAATAAACATTCAGAAAGTAAATCCAATTCAAAGTAATTTAAGAATATTGATAGTATAATACATCAGTACATTGTTCTTGGACAACCATCTTCAATGAAAGATGAAATTGTTCTATCTATGGAATATTCTTCTGCAATCCTACAGATTCACTCACGCCTACATATCTTTATGTGGCAAACATGTTTTGCAAAACAAAGACAGCTTAATACTGTGCACTGACAGAACGCATGCCACTTAACAATTCAGAAATAAAAAGGTACACATTCCTCTTACAAAGTCTTTTAAATAATTCTCTTTAACAGCTATAAATTGCAAATACAAAGATAAAAGAAAGGAAGTACAATATCAGTTATAATGCAATTAAAACAAGTGTTTTTCTGATGACCTGAAATTATCATGTTCTGGTAAAATTATTTACTTAATTTCAAGTTGAACACTCTGAATATTGAATACTGAATACAATATTGAATACATTGAATATTCAATATTTTAGATGTCCATATTTTTTGAACAATATACTTCTTACATGGTAGATGTCATTCTTATAATGTTGGAATGAAATTTATGGCCCTGATTATTCATTGGATTAAAGATTTGATACTTCTAGTGAGTACAGATAAGTAAGCCACTCTTAAAGATACACATTATATATGAATATATCTTCCTTAATTTAAATTGTTGTGAATACACATACTCTCGTTCAACTGTCCCTTGTATTATTAGCTATGAAATTATGAGAATTACAGACTTTAAAGGACAATTCTGTCACTTCTAAGAACACTACTTAAAATGTTAACCTAATCATTACAATTTAGATGAATGTACATCAAAATACTCAGAAGGTTCATTTGTTTTTCATTGTGAAAATCAACTATCAGTTGTTTCAGAAGTCATTTGTAATCAGATTTGAAGAAGGGTTCCAGTGGGAAAGAATAGATTAATTTCACATTCTTACAAAAATAAAGTTATAATAAAATCTTTATCCCATTATATAGATTAATACATAGTTTAATAGATATGAGCAAACATACTTAATACTTCTACCCCCTATTTTCCCATAACAACTGTAAGTGGGTTGGCTGAGAAACAATGACTGGTCCAAAGTCACCTAGCCAGCTTTTATGTCTAAGATGATAATAAATTATTATCATTATTGGACACCATTTAGAAAATATGTACATTGACAACATTTCCATCTGTCAATTATATAAGGTCATCTTGGATTCATGCAAATACTACACCTATAGGACAATTCAATGTACATGAAGACAAACACTAGCTGAAGCACCAGCAGATGTTATTTCACATTTTTGTACATATAATAATTGAACAAACTTACTGATGTCCTTCATTGTAGCCATATTTTGGAATAACCAGATAAAATGGTGTTTGGCCACCTTCAAAGCCTAATCGAGGGAGTGACCCAGATTTTGCTTGGCCGCCAGTTCTCTTTGGAGGATTATATCTTCCACGACCTTGTTTTTTAAACTTAAAAAGAAAAATATGTTAACATGAATTTCATATTCAAATGTAATTCAGTTTCGGCCTTCTCTTTTACTCCTTTGTTCTCATAGGTTATCCCATTCCTTACACCTCTATTCCAGTATGAATGCACAAAAACCCTTGTAAAATATCTCATTTCCCCACCATTAAGATACTGAAACAACTTTATATTCTCTACTATTTTCTCCAAAGCACCTAAGGACAGGACAAGAAGCAATGGATGGAAACTGATCAAGGGGAGAAGCAACCTAGAACTAAGGATAAATTTCTTGACAGTTAGAACAATGAATCAGTGGAACAACTTGCCTCCAGAAATTGTGGGTGCTCCAATACTGGAATTTTTCAAGAAGGGATTGGACAACTGTTTATCTCAAATGGTTTAGGGCAGGGATCGGCAACCTTAAACACTCAAAGAGCCACAAAGGTCCTAACTGGAAGCCCCTGTTCAATTCTGGAGCCGACCGGAAGTCCGGTTTCCCCATCGGTCTCCTAGTGTGGGGTCCTTTCTCCTCTGCTGACCGGAAGTCTGGTTCCCCCACCATAGTCTCCTCCTAGCGTGGCATCCTTTTTCCTCTACCTATCTTAACCGTATGCCCTATCAATTGTGGAGCCAATCAGCAACAGGGAGCCGCAACAGAGGGATGAAAGAGCCACATACGGCTCCAGAGCCACAGATTGCTGACCCCTGATATAGCGTTTCCTGCCCGAGCAGGAACCTCCAAGGTTCCTTCCATATTCTATTCTTATTCGGCAATCGAACAAATCAGCATATTTTTTAAAAAGGATTAGAGAAAATATGCAAGTGAAAGAAAATCGTAGGACACTAATATAGGATAAGTGAATGCGGGACAAAGGTAAAGACTACTAGCAGAAACTACAGAAAGAGCAAAGCGGAGGGGATGGGGGAGAGAAGGGAATCCCCGGGGCTGACTACACGTGGCGAAGGACGCCTGGCTTTCCTTCGCTTCAGCGAAACCAAAGCAAAAGCGGCCTGCATTGCAGCAGCAGCAGCCCAGCGGAGAGCGAGAAGCCTAGCAAACTTTCAACTCACCTTTCGCTTGGACCCAGGGTTAGGCTGTAGGTTGGCGAGGCTGACCCTAGGCAGGCTCTGCAACAGTTCCAAGGCTTTCATCCTGTTCCCTCCGCCAGGTGCCCGCGAAGCCGCCATCGCCTTCGCGAAATTAATCCCAAGGGCGGCAGCTAGGAGAACAGTCCCACTGCACGAAAGGGGCAGGTTCGCACGCGGCCTCTTGCGCAGGCGCAGGGAGACAGAGAGGAACGAAAAATGAGGAGTCTCCCTCACGGTTTGATTAACGGTCTGCTTTTCACCCCGATTGCGGCTGTTGCAATGTCAATGCGCGTGAAAACTACAGCAGAGGCAACAGTTGTCGGGAAGTCGCAGCGTTACGGTCTGGATTAGAGGTCTTCAAATTTGGCTTTAAGACTTGTGGACTTCAACTCCCAGAATTCTCCAGCCAGCTATGCTGGTTGAAGTCCACAAGTCTTAAAGCTGCCAAGTTTGAAGACCTCTGGTCTGGGTAATATTGTAACGCAGGACATGGAAATTTTCTTGAGTTTTTTTTTCTGTGGGATCCTTTTAGTTTGATTTTGGTAAAACTATAATGGGGTAGATAAAACTATAATGAGGTAGTGAAGACGCAAAGGGGCTGTGTGAAAAGTAATGCTCTTAAACTACTTGTGCATCTGAATGCATAGCGATTCCATGGCTTGTTTTTGATAACATGCACTTTTAAAAATTGCGCTGTCTGGAGAGCTGTTTTGGAAAAGGTTGTCAATTAAAATACGGCACTGGGTTCTCAAAAACTTTGTTTTTCAATAGTCACCTAAAGCTCTTGGTTTAACCAACTTAACTGTTAGAATGAAAATTACATGTCAGAACTGGTGCAGGCTGACTACACCTACCCCATTTTTCCATATACCAACAGGTGGGTTTAAAACAAAACCTACATTTCCAATACAAATATTAAAAATGGACGCGCAGGGTTTTTAATAGCACTCGCAAAATCTGAGGCTTTGGCATTCTTACTTTCTCTTTTGAACTGCCGCGTTTCCTTAGGGAATTGATCGCTCCAAGTCTTTTTTCCCTCCGTGAAAGATATTTAATGGGCAGAGTAACACCTCAAACAAGAAGCCATTTCTAATTCTCAGCCCAACTCACCTCAAAGAATGGTGGGGAAAAACATAGGAGGAAGGAGGATTGTCTCTTTGGAGAGACAAGCAGGAGGAAGAGAATTTTCGATTGTCTCCTTGTTTTATTTATTTACTTTTAATAAACCTGCTCTTTAAAGATGGAAAATATGACAGCCCCCGCCCCGCTTCTTGATGGAAGCCCAACTGTCAAAAGGAATAGTAATTCTATGGTGAGGAATGATGGCAGCGTTTGGAAGATCGCATGTTGCCGATCTTCGCATCAGCTAAAAAAAAAGCACGGTATCAAAAGCAAAAGAAAAAAAGAAAGAAAAATCCGGTTAGTTTCCCCTCTAAAATTAAAATACTTTTTTTATTAAAATATTTATTAAAATATTTCAAGGCTTCATCTAGCGGACTCTAGACGAAACCACGTGACCCGAATTGGGAACTCCCAGAATCCCTTGCCGTTGGCCGGCTTTTACGGGGGTCCGCAGGGGTTTGAAAGTCTGAAATCTCCGGCAAGAGCCGCCGCCTACGCCGAGTAGACCAGCAGAGCGCACGCGCGGGAGCATAAGGACCTCGCGCTCGAACGTTCCTTTTTCTTCCCGCCCCCGTTTCAACGGCCGCCTCCGCTCTCTCTCAACTGAGCAGGAGGGAGCGGGAGCACGCGCACCCCCCTCCTCCCAACCCTTCCCAGGGAAGGGAGGCGGGCCTGCTGAGTAACCTCCGTCTCTCTGGTTCCAATCGGGTTCCTGTGCCGCTCCTTTCCCCACCTCCCGGCCGCCCGCCCCGTCAGTGTCTGACTGGCCGACGCGAGAGGGGAGCCCAGTGTATGTGCGGCAACACCATGTCTGCTCCGCTCCCAGCCATTGTCCCGGCCGCCAAGAAGGCCACCGCCGCGGTGAGTGAATAACTGACTTCCTGGCGGTTCTTATCTCCGGGGGGAGGGGGGGGGCGGCAGGCAAGAAGGCGCGATGGGATAGGAGCTGGCCGGACAAAGGGAGAAGAGGAGGAAGGGTCGGTTCAGGTTGAGCAAGGCTTCCTGCAGCGGGCCTTGCTTTTGAGTAACGAACATAGACTCACCCATGCAGATGTTTTCTGACCGGACAGGCGACTTGGCCGCCTCTGACATTGACTTGGCTCTGGAGGCTTCCGACGCGACGCCCTCTTTATTTCTTGGAAATACCATGTTGCCCCAGAAACGCCTGAGCTTTTCTGAGGGTCTTTGAGTCTTGACCGTTTGCTTGCGATCTGGAGGGGTTTTGGTCGAATAGCAAGAATGCAAGATTAATAACCTGATACTTACATTTTCAAGCAGTGTCCACCGCGCTCTCATTTCCTAGTAGGTCATCAAACATGCTTAGAAATTTAAATAGGACAGCTGCTTTTGGTAATTTCCTTCTTAAAATATTAACTTTTTAATACTTTATGAGTTAGCTTCAAAGTCTATGTGAAAAACTCTTTATGTTTTACAGTCTGCTGTAAATTCTTAAAGGGTGTAGGTAGTATTTTTTTAAAAAAGCAAAAAAAAAAAAAAAGTCAGGTCCATGACATAAAATTGTTGAAAAGATGCTGTATAGGGAAGAGAACACATTTATATTTTAAGCTGAAATATAATCACTTTTTCACCATTTAATTGTGTCTTTCCAAAGTGGCTTGGTGTGAATTCTTGCATCAAAATAACTGAAGTGTGAATTAGCAAGAATTGTGTTAATGTCAGCTACCATTCAAGAGTGTCCTAAAAAAATAGCCTTAAAAGAAAATGATTTGAAGTGCTAAATTGTGAAATTTGTGAAAAAAACCTTAATGGAATTATGTTGTACAGAATATTTCTCACCTATTTTCTATTAGCAATACTATTGGATCATTATGATTTTAGATGAAGGGTAGATAGTTTGATATCTTTGGATGCCCAAAGTTTAATTTTAGATGAACATTTAATGACTACATTTCCTGATGATACAAACTGTTCAAAGACATAAAATAAAAAGGGAATTGTGAAGAGATCCAGTTTCAGTATAGCTATTAAGTTCAGTGTGAAAAGATATAAATTATATACATTGACAGAAAAAGTCTGAACTTCATCTCTGTGTTAATGAAATCTGATCTGCCAGTGACCAAAAAGTGATCTTTGAGTTATCATGGACATGAAAATGTCAACCCACTCTCAATATTTTAAGAAAAAGGATAAAAATCATACCTACATACTTAGCTGAGGTGCTATTTTCTTATGGGTAAGAAGGTCTATACAAAATGTAGCAAATAAGTAAAAAATAGCATAGCAAAGAAATAAGGGCACCAGGTAAGCAAAGAAAATATAATCAAATGTAGTTTACATCAGTACTATTCACTGTAACTTTTCATATCTACCTTTGATATCACAAATATAGACCAATTCTGTGTTTTGAAGACTTCTTCAATTCCATATAACTGCAGTTTTCTTAGTTTTCCAATTCCTTTCAACCCATTCACTTTTCATAAAAAAATTTTGTAATTCAGTTCTAAATCTTTCTATATGACTAAATCACAGTTAATTTCTCTGAACACTATTTTATACTCACTCTACTTTCTTTCAACACTAATAATAAAACACAGTGAACAGTTTCATGATTCAAATAATTCATTGCAATCTGTTTGTGCTTAAAATGTTTGGTTTGAGTATGGAACAAAATGGGTTTGTTTTCTGGTCCATGTGGTCTGAAATGTAGGTGCTCTGAGTAGGTGTTTTATGGAAGAATGGGAAAAGTAAGGATATTGGTAGCATCTGAGAGAGGCAAGAGAGAATGTTCTGGGAAGATTATGGAGTAAGCACGCTGATATACTATGCAGTGGGAGTTAAGCATTGGCCGCTGAAGGATGTCAGGTAAAGAAAAGAAGAGAAAATGTTGGAAATATTGTGGGTGGACAGGTTGGTGAAATATGTGTTGAGATATTGGTGATACAGGTAAAGGTGGGAATCAGGATGAGTTATTTCTTTGAACTCTAACTGATTTAGAAAGGTTCTACAGAAACATCTGAAACTTGCTTATATTTATATTATAAAATAATATATTATTACCGTGTTTTCCCGAAAATAAGACACTGTCTTATATTTTTTTGAAATAAGTATTTGGCTTTATTGCCATGCACTCAAAAGCCCGATTGGGCTTATTATGGGATGTCTTATTTTGGGAGAAACACGGTACTATATCATAAAATATATATTTTCTGCACATTTCTATTCAGAACTCATTTACTCTTGACACTCTTCTTTTACCTATCTTATCCCGTTAGGACTCAAAGATATGCACTGCAACTAAATATGGGGAGATTCAGGATCATCAGAAGGAGATATGTTTTCACATAGCATATAGCTAAATTATAAACTATGGATTTTGTGGCAGCACTTAGGGCTAGGCAGGGTGGATAAAAATCAATGATTTTTTTAAAAAAATCACAAAATCAGATTTTTTTGATTTAAATCGGATTTTTTTGATTTTTATCGAATTTATTTTAATAAAAAACTTTTGGGGTAAAAATCTATCGTAAGATAGTTTTCTATTTAAGATACATAACTAATTTAGTTTATTCAGCATGAAATGGAGCTTAGTTATGTAGCATGAGGCTGTATATTCTGCAACACTGGGACTATCGGTGAGTCAACAGTGGGTCAAAGGAGTAGCAGAGATGACAGTTGCTCTTTAAAAAATTATGATTTAAATCGAGTTGATTTAAATCAAGCCTTTTTACTAGTGATTTAAATCATGATTTAAATTGTGATTTAAATCAACTCGATTTAAATCAAATCCACCCTATCTTGTACAGCCAGGAACTGACTCGTGAAAGACCAGACTGGGCATGCTTTAGTCAGCAAGAAGATGGTGCATGTCAATTAGGGTGAGGGGCTGCAGAGTACAGGGGCCAGAAGGGCATGGGGGGGAGATAAATTGGGGCAGTTTAAGTCCATCTGCATTTGTAAGTGAATACTGGCTGCCAAGGTTCAAAATTTGATCATGTGACCATGGGGACACTAACAGCCATAACATTACCAATTGTAAGTCCCTTCATTCAGCACTGCTGTAACTTCAAACTTGCTCAATTCAAGAAAGATTGTTAATCCTGCCAAAAACCTTTGAATATTTTGTATTCGTCCATAGAAGAAAGAATAAATAATAACTTATTTTCTACTTAAGACAAAACAAGTTCTAGCATTATAGATTATAGTGGATTAAAAAATAAAAATGTTCAAAACCTAAATTAAGAATATTGAATAGATTAATAATTCTAAGCACAGTTGTCAGTAAAGAATGGATTAAATTGCTATTAATTAAATGCCAAAAATATGCTATTCATAATACAAATTATTCAGATTTTCAATCATTGAAAATCTTATACATTTCTCTCTTTTTGTCCACATAGACAGTATATAGGTATGTAGCAGTTATAAATAATATGTCAAGAGTGCACTTGGTGATACTACCAAAATTATGTCCTTTTAATAGATTTGTCATATTTAAATGGGCACACTGTCTTTAGCAATGTCTATTGCAGTTAGATTTATGGGAAATAAGAACAGAACAATGTTGAAGAGCTAACTTTCCAGCATGTAGTAACGCTATTCATATACTATCCAATTCTAGGTCATATTTCTCCATGGATTAGGAGATACTGGGTAAGTAAAATGGCTTTTTAAATAAACAATCTGTACTTTTGAAACACCTTTTATTACTTGCAATTTGCAAAGAAAAAATGTAGCGTTCATTAATTGCTGTGCTGAAGTTAGTGTTTACATTTCATTTGATAGATGGTGTGGTCACTAAGAGTTGAAACTGACTTAATGGTACCAGTATTAATTGGAGAACTGGATATTGGAAGATATTAGTGCATGTTTCTGGATTTAATTCTTAAAGATTCAGTTAATGAAAGAACTTGAATTATACGAATAGTCCTTTTTAGTTATTTTGATAAAATTCAGTATGTGCAGATTGTTATTTGACTTAAAATTGCCACAATTAAGTCAAAACAAGAATAGGATTTTTCATACAAAACTTCCTTGTAGATTTCTCTTTAGACATAAATCTTTTATATGATCTTGAGTGAAGTTTCATATGCATATATTCAGAAATAAGTCCTGATGTAGTCAGTAATGTTTAGAATTTAGTAAGCCTGTTAGGAGGTGCAGATATAATGTATTGTACTCTTAATTATTGAGTGAAAAGTTCCTGGTAATCTAGGATATGAATGCTGAAAGGAAAAGTACCTCAATTTTAATGCCTTTTTCATTGGAAATAAAATTGTTTCCATTTTATTAATGGAACACTAGCATTTGAAGGGAACATTAGGGAATGCTATACTGTGAAATATTTTCTCTTTATGGATTAAAAACATTTTTAAAAAATAACTGCATATTTTATATAGGTCAGTTGTTTAAAAAAGTATAGCATAAAGTGGGAAAATATACACTATAAAATCTTACTATATAATTCTGATGTGTGTGTGTGTGTGTGTGTGTGTGTGTGTGTGTGACACTATATCAAACAATACTGGAGGGAAAAAAAATAGTCCCAAAGTTCTAATTTCATAACTCCTGAAATAGTCATTTTGAATGCAGAGTGTCATCCATGGAATTATTTATATACTCCTAGATTTTGTAATATTACAAATTGAGTACTGCAGATAAAATCCCAGTATTCTTCTCTTGGTAGAAAAGAACACCTGGATAATTTTAGTATGCTTAGTATCTCATAACTCCATTCATGTACCTAATACTTGATCTTACATCTTGAAATTTTTATTTCTTAAATTTAGGAGCTGGCTAAATCCAGAATGATTCTGAGCAGCTTACAATTTGAAAAAGAAAAATATTTTTAAAAATCTGTAGCACCCAGATACCATGGAATGCTGATAGTATTATGTAACCCCAAAGCCTAAGAGAACCGACATATTTTTAAAGATCCCTGGAACATCATTAGGTGGAAGAGATACTGATAACTGGGTGGGCATCATTCTTCAGAGTAGGTGCTATACAGAGAAGGCATGGCACTCTGTGGCTCTTTAAAGAGCAGACAATATGTAGAAAAAAATTGGTTTAATTTGCTACCGGTTTTGCTACCATAAGTAAATTTAATCTATTACAGTCAGAATATCCCAGTGATCTTAAATGCTCTTGAAAAGGTAGGGTTGGAGGTGGTTAGGTTAAATAGGAGATTACCAGAAAATCCCATAGCTTTAGACTAGGTTGGGAAGACTAGATTGGAAAGTTGTAAGCATCCTGAAAGAAAGCTGTAACAAACCATTTCTGTTGCTAAGAAGGGTTCATGATGATAAAATCACCAAGAATCAGACTCCATTCAAGACAGACCACCTTACAATTCTGAATGTTAAGATTATTAATAGTTTTTATTTCCATATTTGAGAAGAGATTAATGGAAATTAGAAATACATTAAGTACCAGTTGCTGAGAAGATTTTGAATGGGAATTTGTTTTTCATATTTTTATAGGCATGGCTGGGCAGAAGCATTTGCTGGTATTAGGAGTCCACACGTAAAGTATATTTGTCCACATGCGTAAGTATGTTAATATTTTCTGGTTGTTGTTTCCTTACAGTTCTCAATAATAAATCTGAAAGAATTATGTGACCCGTTTATGAGAAAGAAATTACATGTGATTGCCTCTCTCAATGACTGCTACCCTAATTCTTCCAGGTGCAGTCACTACGCAACTGTAAATCATTGAAAAGACAGAGGGAAAGAGCTCCCTGCCAAAAGAGGGCAGGTAGCTCCTCTCTATGTACAGAAGGAAATTCCTGCGCTGGGCTAGGGAAACTAAGCTTGGACCCCAAAAATTATTTTCATCGGCCCAGCATGCCATTTTTGTCCCATCAAAGTGCTAACTTTTTGTGTCTTTAAAGGTGGAAGAAAGGTTCCCCACCTCTTTCAGAAAGAGTCCCTCCCAAAAGCAGCCCTTCCGCTCTTAAGACACTGGCTTCAAAAGTCCATAGTGATACCCATTTCTTTTTCCCTGGATCTGCTTCTTTATTCCTATTGCTTAATTTTGAAGAAGCTCCAGCCTACCTAATTAAGAGCTGTGGTGGCAGAGTGGTTAGAATCCAGTATTGCAGCTAACTCTGACCACACACCAGGAATTTGATCCTGACTGGCCCAAGGTTGACTCAGCCTTCAGCCTTCCAGGTCGGTAAAATGAGGACCCAGATTGTTGGGGGCAGTATGCTGACATTGTAGACAGAGAGTGCTGTAAAGCACTATGGAGGAGTACACATAGTCCTTGACTTATGATCACAATTGAGCCCAACATTTCTGTTGCTAAGTGAATCATTTAAGTGAATTTTGCCTCATTTTATGACCTATCTTGCCACAGTTGTTAAGTGAATCACTGCAGTTGTTAAGTTAGCAATGTGGTTGTTAAGTGAATCTGGCTTCGCCAGTGACTTTGCTTATAAGAAGGTTGCAAAAGGTTATCACATAACCCTGGGACACTGCAGCTGTCATAAATATGAGTCAGTTGCCAAATGTCTGGATTTTGATCACATGACCATGGGGATGCTGTAACCATCATAAGTGTGAAAAATAGTCATAAATCATTTTTTCAGTGTCATTGTAACTTAGAACGGTCACCAAATAAACTGTTGTAAGTCTAAAACTACCTATATATACTGTAAGTCTAAGTACTACTGCTAATTCTTAGCAATGAGTTGGGACAAACAAAAAAACTAACACTGAGATGGATGGATGGATGGATGGATGATGATGGATGGATGGATGGATGGATGATAGATAGATAGATAGATAGATAGATAGATAGATAGATAGATAGATAGATAGATAGATAGATAGATATTTCCTGTAAATTCCTGTGTACCAAGTAATCACACATTATGTGAGGTCTAGAAACAGCTTGCTGTGGCCAACTTGCTGCAGCCATCTTGCCATCACCAGCTCATTGCAGGACAGCTCGCCATGGCCAACTTGCTGTGGGACAACTCTCCGCAGGATAACTTAATGAGAGATAACGGTAATCTAGACTTGTTCCTATCTTAATATTATTAGTAATAACAATATTATAGTTAACTCACATTGAGTTGCCACATTGAGTTGGCCACAGTGAGTTCCCCAGCAGTGAGTTCCATTCCACATTATATGAAGCACAAAGCTTTCTCTCCCTGTCTCTCCCTCCCTCCCTCCCTATCCATCCATCTTCTGACCTTTTCCTTCCTTCCTTTCTTCTTTCTCAAGTCGTCCCCCCCCCCACTCCATTCAGTGGGCTGCCAGGGAGCTGTGACTCAAAGCCTAAACTAATTTCTTGTATAGGGCTTTAAACTTAATGAGAGACATGAGAATTATGACCAGCAGTTTCTTCAGGGCTAACCATTTGCTTGGCGATGGTGAGGAGCAATTTAATAGAAGTAGTAATACGTCAGGAAGCAAGTACCCATAAGTTGTTTTAACTTATAAGTTTTTTTTTATTTATTTATTTATTTATTTATTTATTTATTTATTTATTTATTTATTTAATTAATTTTTATGCCGCCCTTCTCCCCAATTATTCCTTAATTTTACCATGAGCTGAGATAGGGCAGAAAAGCAAATTCCCAGAACCGCCATCTAAAATTTTTAATTGTTTGACAGAACAAATAGTTACAAAAACCTGTTTGGGCTGGACTGTGTATATCTAAGGAATATGCCACATACTTAGCAATGCATGCATGGCTGAATATCATCAAGAATTCTGACACTATTGACTGGATTATAAAAAGATAACGGTATCACAGGGAAACATAAAAGATTACAAGAAAGTAAAAGCAATGCAGGAAGTCAGAAATTCTATTTTACAATAAATTCAACTTCCCTTTATTTTGGATTGACAGTATATTAGTGAAAGCTTTATGGTCCCATCATTTTAGTGTTTGTATTTCTTTGTAAACAGGAAATTGAATAGAGTACCACGTCTTGAAATTAAATGGAAAGAAAGAAAAACAATTGGACTTCAGATAGATTTAGATATTTAAATCTATTTACCTAAGGTATATAGAAAAGCATCTGTCCTAAATCCTAAAAGAAAAGGATGTCAATTGTATTCTAATTATTTGGCATTTCATGATTAATTTTGCAAGGTACCTGAATTTAAACAATTGTTTCATCTTCTCTGGAATATCCTTAAGCTACTTTAAACTTTGAATAGATATTAATATAGATTATCACAATGTGATAAAAAATGAGGAAAAGAGATGTATTAGGGAACAGCATAATGCAATTCTATGATTTAAAAAAAGTAAAAACAAAAAAAATAGTTTAACATTTGTTAAAATGCAGAAAGGAATATTTAAAACATTCTTGCTGACTTAACTTGAATCTTTCTTTACACAATTTCAAGGCCCGTCATGCCAGTTTCTCTCAACATGAATATGGCCATGCCTTCCTGGTAAGTGAGGGATTAGTTTTTTCCCCGCCGTTCTTTGTTTTTAAGTTTGAAACATTCTGGTGCTTATTTATTCCTGTGATTTATACTGTTTATGCTAAAAATAATAATAATGAAGAATAAATGGAAAGGGACTTAATTAGCCACTGATTTTAATTTCATATGACATATTTGATAAGATATATCGGATTGGGCCACAAGTGTGTCCTGTCTATAGTTTATAAGGGGCAAGGAGCCAAGTTGGCTACTAATAGTAGCTCCTCAAACAAGGACTCAGCTTGTAACTGGCTTTGTCCCTCTAGTTCAGTCCTTATAGCTTAAATGTCATATAGAGGAAAGGAAAGAATTCAGACCAGTTCCAGTAATGATGCTGGATTTCATAAACCCAATAAAGCAGGGAACAGACAAAGATCAACTCCTATATCCATACTACAGAATCAGCATGAATCACGAATAATAGATTTATAACTTTAGGTTCCCCTCCTCTCCCCACCCCCCTTGAAATCATAACGGAGAAGCTAGGTTGCCTTCCTGACCCTCAAAAGATTCAATTCAAGCCACTCTCTGGAGCAGAGTGATAATGGAGGTAACCTCTGAAACAAGTACCTACTTTCCCCCCACCCTATCTACATCATTTAGGCTTTCCTTGATGTTTATCTATTATGAGTAGACACATCTTTATATTACAATGACTAAACAATATTGCAGCCATGCTTCCAATAAGCCTTTGATCTACACATTGTCGAGGTACTTAGGGGGTTAAAACTTCAGCAGAACCTGTCTATATTAACACTCTAGCAGTCTGTCCCATCAGTCATCTTCAAGTAGTTTATGCAGCCAATTACTAATGTGCCCTGCAGAAAAAACAACTCTTTCTAGAAATCCATGTCAATGCCCATAGATGGGTAACTGCAAGACAATAATGACCTTCCTGCTTCAAGGCTTAACTTCCAGATCTCATTTTTTTCACTTATCCAGCACATGCTTCTAACTTTCAACCAGCCAACTCTCCCTTACTTACAAACAAATGAACAGATTATGGCTTCATTATGGCATTCATTATGGCATTCAAAGAGTCTTTATGTATGAGTTATTTCCTTATCAGAATGATAAATGGCCACGCAGTTAAGAGTCTTAAAAGTTCTTGCCAAGTGGACCCCTCATCAACTAAATCAAATGATAAATGAGTTTTTGGACTCAGATCTCGTTCAAAGGATTCAATTTGCCTTGTCATCAGCTAGATATCCCCTAATGCACTAATGAAGAACAACACTTTTTCCAAAGAGAACCAATACTGCCTAACCCACAATAATTAGCAACACCACTACCACTTAAAGGACTGTGTTAATTATAAAAATAGCTTTTGTTATGTACCTACTATTGTACAGCTGCACTGGATTTTTTCCAGCAGAAGGCATACAATAAACAACAGTTGGTGTGCAAGAAAAGGGAAGTCCTGAAAAACAATTGGATACAACTCATTCAGACAGAAACATTTAATGACTCAGCCTCATTTCGGCATATCACATCAAGCTCTCATAACAGTGCATCATTATGTATACTTCCTCAGGAGTCAGGAAATGTATTTTCTGAAATCTATGAGGACATTTTTGTAGAATTAGGAATCCTATGCAAGTTATAAAACAATTGTCAACATGGACACTCATGACCAAATCCTTATACAGGCCATTAAAAGCAATCTGGTTTTCTGGGCCTCTAATCTGACTTCCCTCTACCTGTATTGATTCCTTGGCTGAATCTGCAAGGATTTGAGACTTTCAATATTTGTTCCTAATTATAAAAAAGAGAGATGATATCTTTCTAATTATAGAGCTATTGACCTCCTCAACACCAGCAGCAAGCTGATGCAAGATACCTACAGTGGACATTCTGGAACTGGTTGAAACAAGAACGTCTGCTTGAGATGGATTTTTTAAGAAGTCAATTGACATTAATCAGAACCTTGTATTGCAGCACTTCATTGAAAAATATTTCTCGCATCTTCTTCTATATTGCTTTTGTTGATTTTAAGCAATGTTTTATTCCATATACTGAGCTAAATTATGGAAGAAGTTGGAGGCCTTCTTAATCAACCAGCATTTACTTCATTTCATATGTATGATACATAAAGGCATTTCATTCAGATTAAGATTTAACCCCATGCCCTCACCAGTGCTTTTAAAACTGAAAAAGGCATTAAAACAAGACTGCATATTGGCCCAACACCTATTCAACTTCTATATTAATTCTTTGGTGGGCCATCTCCATGACATACATTTTTCTTCCCCAAAATTTATTTGAAGACACCTTTTTATTCTACAATATGTAGGCAGTACTTTTAAGAATATTATTGGTCTTAAAATAGTATTGAAGGCCCTACCCACGTGTTTCAAGAAAGACTAATTAGAACTCAAGTATTGATATTGCACTTGCCAAAGGGTCCAAGAACTATCCTGTAACATAGATGGCTGCAAGTTTGAGCAAGTCTTCATTTTCCTAGTAGTAAAAATAATCCATAGGGACTGTTCTGCTGAAAATGCATAGAGTTCATCTGACATCCTTAAATATTTTGACAAGATATTTCCATTACCCTGTATACTCACCGGTCTTAAATTTGAAGCCAAATTTTAGCACAACTTCTTTGTGGCGCCTGACTGGTTCCCTTTTCCAATTTTACAGTGTTAGGGATTGATATAAAGCTGAAAAACTTTATCCTGCAGTTGGCTAATTTTTGTCTTGCCAATTCTCATGAGTCCTTTTCACCTAAATGTATTTATATGAACTTGTTGAGCAAATGTTTTTTGGTATGTTTCACCAGAACAGCTTTAGCTGATAGGGATGTTTGGAAGAAAAAGGAGTTCCTTATTCTATGAAAAGTATCATTAGAAATCCTAAGATTTCATTTTTCAAGGCTTGGTTTTCAGTTACAGGTATATTTGGAAGGCTGAGCTTAAGCCTGCTGGATACAAGATTGAACCTGTATAACTTTATGCTTATTCTAATAATTGTGAAGTTACTTGCATAATATAATACAATGTAATTGTTTGATTAAAGGTTCGATATTTTTGGACTTGCTCCAGATTCACAGGAAGATGAAGCTGGAATCAAACAAGCATCAGAAAATGGTATAATCATATTTTATTTTATGAAGTACATAATTATAATTGCTTGGGAATTTACCAATTTCCATTCTACTTATAAACATGTATTTTGTTAGCTATGTTCCATTGATATTATAGAATAGTGCAAATAATCTTCTTACATAAACAGTACTGTTGAGTTGTATGTTGAGTGAGCAGCCATATAAATGAATAAACAAATACGTACTCCAGCCAACAAACTACATATGAAAATAATATGTCTGATATGATTTTAAAAAATAGCATTGAATAGCAAGAACGGTTTCTGTGAAAATCAAGCACTGAGAATATCATCTATCCTGAAGAAATCCAGATGATCAGAAGATGGCAGCAAAATGATACAGACTCATAGAATTGTGCAGTTGGGAGGGAACACAATCATCTAGTCAAATGCTCCCAGTATCAGGAAGATTATACTATTCTTAAAACATGGCTGTCCAGCCACCTCTTAAAATGCTCTGTGATGGAGAACTCTAACCCTTTGTTGATGGACAGCTACATAAAATATTTTAGGTATGTGGATTCATGGTGCTGCTTCTAAAACAACCCAGAATTGCACTAGCTCTTCTAGCAGCTATCTCAACTATTGGCTCATATTGAGCTTGTCAGTGGCCATACCCAAATCCTTTCCAAGTTATGAATCCTTAGTCTTGTACATATGACATATTTCCCTTCCTAAATATAATACCTTCCATTTCTTCCTGTTGAAGAGCATCTTTTTCCAATCAGCCCAGATTTTCCACCTGGTCAGATTACATTGCAAACTTTGTTCTAACATCAAGAATTCCCTAGAGCGCATACTGTCTTCCTTTTAAATACACACGAGTTCTTGTTGGTACAAACTGAATATCAGTCCTACTTTTTCTACTGTGATTGAAAATTGGGGCAGGGGATTCACAGAATCCCAGCAAGTTCTTGCTCAACCCTAGTATTCTGTTGAACACAATTTGAACAACTCTTGTGTAAATTATTGCAGCTGAAGAACTATACTACTACCTGTACTAATGGGCCAGTAGTATTGATGGGAATTTTGGTCAATATTGGTTTGTACTATGCTCACTTAACAGGATTTCTGATCATTCTGTCCCTTCAATCCCCAGTATGCTCTGGAGAAACTTTAGTGCATTTGTGGGGTGGGGGGGAATTAAGAATTGCTTGTAGAGGCAGATGTGTGACTTAAAAATCCCAGCCATTAGATTCAACTCATTAGATTCCATATGATTTATTTGATTGCTGAAATAAAATGTTGGAATTATACAATGAGTCTAAATATGCCCTTTCTTAATTATTACCATAATTAAATAATTAAATAGAACAAGCATTGCCATAATATGTAGCATTGCATTTAAGAGCCTTGAAATTTTGATAGACTTAATGATGATTTGTGTTGCCTGTAAAGTTTATCAACTGTTTACAGTATCATATTCTAAAGGAATTCTCCATAAATACTGATGGTTTTTTTGAGAATAACTATGAATATTTTTCACTTTATATTTCTTGGATTCTTTCACCATTGCTTTAACCACTTTAACCCTAGAGACTTCTGTTTCAAGTTGATCCTTGATATATTCATCTGTTGCCTCAGTAGATATACACACCACTTGTATCACCTATTTTTAAACACAAGAAAATAATGTATTTTTAAGGTTATAATAGAACATATTGTAATACACTCTTTTTAACAATTGTGCTTACTAAAAATGAAATTTATCATAATTTAAAATACACATTTAATAATATTAAGTAATTATTGCATAAATATAACCAATTATTTTATTTAGGCTTCATTGTAAAACAGTGAAATCTATATAGTTCCAAAATTAAATAAGAAAATAGAATAGTAAAAAATAAAAATTAATATGTCAATCCCTACCCATCCTAAAGTGAAAATTCCAAAGTGAGGGGAACTATATAACCATTAAATAAGTATTATATCCATAGTATCTTTCTATGGTAGTCTGATATTTCTTTTATAAACATAGTTAACATTCAGTTCTTTCTTTCAGTGAACACACTTATAGAACAAGAAGTAAGGAATGGAATACCCTCAAACAGAATAATTTTGGGAGGATTTTCTCAGGTAATACTGATACAACAATTCCAATTCTATGGAAACCCTAACAGTGTGGCAAAACTCTTGTAACTAACTGATTACTTGGATTTCAAATCATTCTTTTAATCATTTTGGATTATCAATCAAAATATTGATTCTACAAAAAGTTCCCAAACACCTTTTCAGTTATGGTTATTTAGGTCCTTGCTTATTGTAGGTATTTAGTTTGTAGCAGCATGAACACAATCTAGTTTTACTGGTAGATTTGATATGCTTGTTTAAATTTCTTTTTCCCTTCAGAGTACAGAATGAATAACGATGTTCAGACCAATACAAATACTAAAACAGAAGTTTCTACATATATGTAGAGTCACCGGGAGAGAGGTGACATATAAATTATTATTGTTTTCATCATACTGGTAATTTTGTATTATCCAAAATATATTTTGCATAGTTTATAGCAAATGCTTTTGTCTTGATAAATTTTTCTTGTATAGCAGAATTAAAATAATTCTGTCTGTGTGTCTGTGACATTTTTGGAACACAAATAGTATTGTTAGATTTCCGGTTGATAACCTAATCCCATGTTCACATCAAGTGCTAGCTTCTTAAATAAATGAACATGAACATGAAAATGTACATGGGATAATATAAGATAACACATATATAGGGCATATAAATGATTTACATTAAAATACCTTATGAATTGGATTAAACAAAGACAGAGTTCTCCTTTATACAAAGATTCACAGTTTTAAGTCCGTACTCAGAAGTAAACAAATATTGACTTGACTACAGCCATGGATTCTTAATGTCCTTTAAAATTCTTATAAGATATGTCAGTTGCACAATAAATACTTCATAGTTAACAAAAGAAGTTTGAAAGTGATACACCACTAACAAAAGTATTTTGAAAGACAGAAATGTACTTCTGGCAAGTGTTTCTACACTTAAACTAGTTGATGTGACAATCCAACAACTAATGCTACTGCATTATAAATGCTTGACTAGTTTCTTAAATATTATAAAATAAATATAATTGAAATTCCAGTTTCTAAAAGTAAGTTGTGTTTGTTGTTCAGTATTTGATTAAGACGCTACTAATGGACTTTACGTTGATTTTTATTAGGGAGGAGCTTTATCTTTATACACTGCCCTCACAACGCAACAGAAGTTAGGGGGTGTTGTAGCACTCAGCTGTTGGCTTCCACTGCGGACTTCATTTCCACAGGTTGGTTTCATAAAAATGAGAGTTAATTTTTATTTATACTGTCAAATATAAGATCCTAATAGCATTTTAATAGCATCTTTAAGATCCTCTTCTTTGTTGGCTAAATATGGAAAAAATATAACCAGCATTTCATAAACACAATGTATTGAATGACTTTAAATGAAATGTTTAGAATATGAGTATTTAAATAGGAAGTCTGGATAGTGGATGTACCTGAAGGCAGCAGACTAGAAAGAACTGGAGAAAAATCACAAAATAGACCTGAAAATAGAAATAGAATGACTGTGGAAAAACAAAGCAAAAGTAATACCAATAGTAATAGGCCTCTTGGGTGCAATCCCAAAACAACTGGAGCACCATTTGAATATCATTGGCATTTACAAAATCACCATTGATCAATTGTAGAAGGTAGCTTTGCTTGGAATAGATTACATCCTGCAACAAACATCGAAATCTGCCTATCTCAGGCCCTTGGGAAGGGCTTTGTAGACTGATAAAAATGCCAGACATCCTAAACATCTGGTTGACAGTGATGAACCATAATAATTTACTAAATTTATAAGCTGACTGCCAGCAATTTTGGAAAGTTTACAACTGGTTAATAATAATAATTATTTTGCTATATTGTTTATTTTGCTTTACAAATGCTGCAGTAACTTTAAAGGGATTAATAAATTCCACTGTCTGCCAGAAAACCAAAGATATCTAGATTCCAATCCTGTATTCAAAAAAATGTCAAAAACGGCAAATGTAGAGTCCTGGGTTAAAGACCCTGAAATTTGAAGAATTATTTGATCACAAAACTTAACAAATGATACCAACCAAATACTGTCTCTGCGTAGCATTCCATACTATATGATTATGTAGATAAAAAGGATGGTGGAATAAAGCTGCTTAGAGGTAGGCTGAAATAAAAATATGAACATATAACAAATAAACAGCCTGTGTAATATGCTTTGCTCTCATAATGTGACTTCTTGTAACATTTTTTCTAGGGTTCCATCAATTGCATCAACAAAGACATTTCTATTCTCCAGTGCCATGGTGATCGTGATCCTTTGGTTCCTTTAATGTTTGGAAGTGTGACTTCTGAAACACTAAAGAAAATGTTAAACCCTGGCAACATAACTTTCAAAATGTACTCAGGCATGATGCATAGCTCATGTATTGAGGTAATTATTGTTTTACATTAAGAATGAGTTATTTTAATCAGGAAAAAAAATAATTTAAGAGGTACATGTAGTCCTTAGGTTACAACAGCAGTTGGGAGCAGGAACTCTTGTGTGACATCATGCAACCATGGAGTGAGTGGTGACAATTCCAACAGCCTCACTTGTTATCATTAAGTGAGGACCATGTGGGTTTATTAGCGAGACACATGAGGGCAACTTTTGACTTCTTGCTGGCTTCTTCATTGACTTTGCTTGTGGGAAACTGACATTGGCAATTGTGATCATGAGAGTTCAGTGGCTATGAGTTCAGTGGCGCTTGCTTCAATATAATTGGTTATAACTTTAATCCAGACAAGTTGAAGATATAAATCAGGACACTGAATGAAAAACCTGATTTTAGTGAAGTAGTAGTGTTGATTGAAGATCAGAACAAAAAGTTCCTTGCATGGTGAGGAGCCCAGTTCTTTCTGTAGTAGTTAAGAGAATATTAGTATCAAACCATCTAAACTAAATTACTGTTTTTCATTCCTAAATAGGAAATGATGGATGTGAAGCAATTTATTGACGAGCACCTACCTCCAATTGACTGAAATATATGAGAAGCCTTTGGTTAAATACACCAGCATCATCTGTACTAGATTTTTTTTCATGTAGCTATTTCTAAAGCATCTCTGTGCCTACAGTATTAACTGTATTGCAAAGATTAGAAACTATAACTTCATGAGAAACAATATTCCTTTTAAATCCCATTGGCCATAACATAGATATATGGCAGTGGAAAGGCATGTTGGAATATAATTAGGTATTCTCTTCCTTGCTAGATCATTCCAAATCTAAAGTTATGGAGCCCTTTTATAATTCAGAGCAAGATTTTCCCCCAAATCCTGTTATATTACTACTTGCTAAATTGACACTTCTATATGCAGTATATAAAACTAAGCATGCAGTGGTAGAACGAGTATTCTTAACATTCACATTTAACCAATATTATTGCATGTTCAAGGTAAGACTCAAGTCTTTAAATTATCCCTACACCTTGGAGGAATGCAGTGTTTTATCTTAAATGTGCACCCTGCTACTTAGAATCTTAAAAAAAGTATTTATCTTTATAACAAATGTTTCTCATTCAGCTGTCCTTACTGAGATAAATTTAGACATAGATGTCACTAAATTATACATAGAATATAACAAAAGTCATTAGAAATTTTAATATATTGCAAAAATTGAGCTTTCAAAAGCTCTTTTAAGTAGCTAACTTCTTAAAAATCAAAATCAGAAAATATATTGTATGTATTAGTCTTAACTTGTTCTGCTTCAAAAAAATCAAAAATGAAATCAAGGTTGTTGTTTAAAGCATTGCACAATCAACTGACAAGAGACGAGGAGGAGTGCATACAAAGAATATTTTATTTTAAAGCTGAAAAAGATCACTGTGTGAAAATTTGATTGAGCTGTTCTAAATCTACCACAGCTCAGCAGAAATGTAATGTTTGGTTGTTCAAAACGAAATCTAGAGGGATACCAGGGTAGTTTTTTTTGGAGAAAGTTAGGATAAGACTGGTGCACATTATTTTCTCTTAAGCAAGGCATATGCATTGCTGCCATCTCCTTGCTCTTCCCCTGGCCTGCCTTCAACCACTACCGCTGATATTCAGCATGGCATATCACACTGCCTGTCTGTTCCACCCACCCTACAGAGGATTTTTCTAGCATTTGCTTTCTCTCCCCAGTTGCGACTGATATCCAGTATGCCATCACCAAGGCAACCCTTCAGCCTTGGCTTTTTTCTGTTGTTTCCTCCACCACTGAATAACAAAGCATGGTTTAGTTTGGTGCGGAGCACCACAAACTAGCTGTTCTGGAACAGTTTGTGCAAGCAACATTTTCAATGTCCCTGGACCAGGTCATTCAGAAATAAGATACTTCACCTTTGTCATGACAAATTTTCCATCTAAATTCTTAAGACTTGAAATTTTATTTCAGATAAATACACGTTCCTGCAGAAGTTCCAGGTTTTGTACATATAAACAGCTAATTCTATACATACATGTTACTTCTATATGTATTTTGTGTACATATAGAAATAAAAAAAATCCATAATTCTATAGCATAATTGTAAGAATCCTTTAGAAATAGTGTACAAGTTTTGTGGTCAATATTGTATGTGTGGGGAAAAAACTGGATATGTTCTTTCTCTTTCAGGCCATTTACCATATCCCAATATTTTGCTGATTTTTTTAGCATCACATTGCTACTATGTATGGTGAAATGGCATCTTCTGAAATTTCTTCTATTCATTAATGTGATTTTATTTAAGAGGAGACACGGAACCTAATGGAATCACTCATATCTGCAGCTTGTAAGCACTAAAATATAGAATTAAAAATGTAATTGCAGTTACATGTTGGTGGAGTAAATCATGGCCTTTAGCACTTTTGTGTATGTTCTGGCATGTTTCTTGATACTTGCTGGGCTTTAGATAATTAAACTGAGAGCAATCTATATACCAGCAGAAAGAACTGGCAAGAAAGCTGTGTTTGGAATACATAACTTCAAATTGTAAATTGTTTTCTTGTGTGTATTGCCAATATCATGGAGGTTTAATTGGGCTTACTCTTTATTTAGTTATATGATGGAATTTGGAAAGCAAGGAAACCTAAGTTTGTTTCCTATTGCATCCTGAAACAATATTTTAAAATGCAGATTGTGGATTCTAATGAACTGAATTTGGCTCTTGAAAGAAGTAAATGTTTCTGTACTGAAAGCATCTCTGAACTATTTTAATTATAGGAATCTCTGCGAGAGTTTGTGTACATAGGACTTGAATATGGGAACAGTGATTTTATCAGTTTATTTTGTTTTTATTAGAGACTAGTTATTTACATGCTCCAAGAAGAAAGCATTTTGACAGTATTCAGAGATTTTTTATAAGCGATAAACATGCAAGATTTTCGAACATTGGCTTAACAGAAAGTAGTCTGTTAAAATGTTTATTATGTAATGGTAACTGCTTCAGTTCTTATCTTAAACATAAGAAATGCAAAACAAACCAAAACTTTGATTAATCTCATTTTTTAATTTAAAAAACTTTATGTGGAACTACTGACATCAAAATATAGTAGCCCCCAAATAATGTTCAGTTTACTTTGGAATCTGACATACAATACTTTGCTGAACAATCAAACTTTAGAGTATTGAGTATTAAATTGTTCTTAATTGGAATGTTTTAATAAAATTGCCAGTCTTTATTGTATTATATCATACCTTAAATGCTGTGACAATTGAGGCAAATCTAATAAATTCATCAGGATTTTTATCCTGATATGGTTAGTTTTTAAGTTTATCTTGAAATATAGTGTTCATTGCAGTGAATGAATTGCTGAAGGCATACTCTAACATGAATTTCTGGTATGTTAATTGAATGTTTGCCTTAGGAAGTGTATTGCACTTCAGTAAATTCTAAATGCATTTTTTAAATAAATAGGTGCTATTGACTCAAATATTGTTTCCAGAAAGTATGTATAGGATGTAAATGAAGCCATATGTTCAGGCTGGAGTATTTTATAAACAATTTGGCTTTTCTTTATCTTATATTTTAGGAGGTTCATAGCTAAGATAACACTTTGATTTTATACTATGTTTATGGCAAGAAATCTTCTACTGAAACATCTTAGATGGAAATTGTAATATGTTACTGTGAATAAATTCTGAACAATCAATGAATGAAACAATTCTGGTTGTATGACAAATGCTATATCCCTTATTTGCATCTCTACAATTATTAAACAAGAAAAATGATAAATTGTTCATTGAAGACAGGGCTGTCAAATTTGGTTCCATTGAGGGCCGTATCAGGGTTGTTTGACTTCGGGAGAGGAGTGTGATGGACGTGGCTGGGAGGGCTTGGCCAACTCAACATCATTTGTGTCGGCTGTCCCAAGCTCCGTTTTCGTTAGCAGAGCACTGCAGGAGGCTGTCGAGCTGAAAACAGAGCTCTGGCCACAGTGGGCTGGTCCTTCACTGTTTCCAGGGAGGCCCTGTGGGCCAGATCTAAGCATTCTGTGTGCTGCATCCAGCCCACGGGCCTTGAGTTTGACACCCCTGATTAAAGAGATATAGTAACAGTTATAAATACATTTAAAAAAAACTAAGTGCAGCATATGAGAAACAATATTTGGATTCATACTTTTCACTAAGATACTTTAATGATCCGGCTCACAAAATTTATCCAATTGTTTATGTGTTTCATATATAACAGGCAAGCCTTCAGATGCCTAGAAGATATTAAGCAAAATATATAGCATATTAATAGATATCATAAACCAAAGAGCCAGTGTGATATACTGGTTAAGACACTAGAAAGCAGGAGACTATGAGTTCAAGTCCCACCTTAACATGAAAGCCAGATGGTGACTTTGGACCAGTCACTCTATCTCTTATCCCAATCTACCTCATAGGATTGTGTTTTAGGGAAAATAGAATAAGAAAGATTTGTTCACCACCTTGGATTGCTTTTTAAACAGGATAAAAATAAATATTACGTTGAATCAGTATCATCCCATGCAGCTGATGCAGAATGCCAAGGCTTGGGGAAACCATTATATTAAAATTAGACACATTTGCACTATACATGGTTAGGTAAATCATTATGTAGGGACATAATAGAATCAGTAGAATTACTTGGTCAGCACATTTTCATATTTTATAATTCACCAATCTATATAATAATAAAAATGGGCTTTATAAAATTTGGCTACAAACTTTGGTTGTGTGACTTAGTATATCAACAAAGCAACCATTGTTAATCATGTTTAAATGTGAACACATAATTCAAACTGCAGTTATAAACATGCAGAAGCAGGTATAGATACAAAAAAAATCAGTTATTTCCATGGTAAGTAAAGTATATATTTTGTAGCATTATTTTTGTTGCAAGAAAAAAACTACAGATGCTTTGTGAACCTTAATCTTCTGTAATAGCTTTTTTGGTATTATACAGTTCACAAGAAAAATAAAATGAGCTCAGGCAGAAGTTTTGTCAGAAACGTACTTTATTACAGTTTACAATGGAAAGTAGAACTACATATAAATCCATCTCTTCATGAAATCCCAATGCACATAATTGCAAAACCATTCTGACAATTTAAATTAATACATCAGTAATCACTGATACTTTCCTTCAGTCAATAAATACTAAATATACCTGCCAAAGACTTGCTGAACTTTATATTTTCTCTTGCGTTCTAGATCAAAATAAATTTATTCAAAATGCCCTAAATACTTTAGTACAGTTTTAAAGCCTACAGAGAAGTTTGCACCCATGGCTGTTCTAAAATACTGTTTTAGAATTGTTCTACTTCTAATTTTTAAGTAGAAATTTTTAATCTCCTGTATGGAGAATTAGTGCAGAGAAAGTGCCTCAGAGGGAGACCACAGCTGTGATATAAGGATATCTGCAAGAGGGACCTAAAGGCCCTGGGAATGGACAGTAACAACTGGGAAACCTTGACCTCCGATCGTTCAGTTTGGAGGCTAAAGACGCAGCATGGCCTTCTCCAATTGGAAGAGATACTTGTTCGGCAGGCTGAGGCAAAGAGGCAGTCCCGGAACCAGCGAAATGGGAAGGGAGGGGGGGCCTGGGCAGGGGAATGTGGGAGGGATTGCCACTCTCGAATTGGACTTTTTAGTCACACTAGATGCTGTTTTAGGACCCCTTTCCAGAGCACGATATCATAGTCTCTTGAGACTGAAGGATGCCAATGAGAACTTCTAATTTTTATATATTTAACAAAAAGGACAAAAAAGCAATATACAAATGAGAAAATTTGCAAACTACAGTAGTTTTAATTTCAGGAAATTGGATCCTTGAAGATAAACCTCTCTTTGACAAGCCATTCCAATCCATAACCTTCCAAATAAATTGGACTGCAAACTAGTGTCATCATTTGGGCATGCTGAGAGTCATGGGTTTTGTAGTCCAACGTACCTGGAGGTCCTCACGCCTAGAGTTATGTTACCTCCCCGAGATCGCAACCACTGCTACTCCTTTTTCCATTTGCCAAGACAGAACAACTCTCAGCCCAATGTCCTGACATTACAAAGTTACAAAGATTCTACACCTCCGTGTCATTTTCGGTCAACGACAACCTCTTCTTCCCTCCCTTCTCCCCACGCAGAGGTTTATTATCCTCCATTTCCGCTGAGCGGTCGGAACTCTGAAGGGAGACGAAGCTCCACCCCCCATTTTTTTCCCCCTTAATCGATGTTTTCGGTTTTCCAGAGCACTTCCTGGCTCTCTTTACCGAGGTTTGATCAGCAAGGCCTGGCGCTACGGCTGCCGAGCTGTCGCTCCTGGCCGGCTGATGTTCACAGCGACCCCGACAGTGATTTGGCGGCTCCATCTTTGCTTTTGCGCTGAAAGCGTCGGCATTCGTGGCGTAGAAGGAGCATCGAAGGTTGAAGCTCACTCCTCCTCAGTCGCTCATTAGAGAGAGAGAGAAAGAAAGAGAGAGAGAGAGAGAGAGAGAGAGAGAGGCGCCGCCGCGGACCCGGCAGCCGCCATGAGCACCGAAGATGAAATCATCCGCATCGCTAAGAAGATGGACAAGATGGTGCAGAAGAAGAACGCGGTGAGGTCCATCGGGAGGGAGGGAGGGAGAAATATCCGTTAGCCCCCTCGCGCGCCCGACTTCAACTTTTGTCCGACCAATCAGTGGCGCTGCACCTCAACGGGGCGCCCGCCTTTTTCCGGGGGGGGGGTGATAAATGAGGGGCTACTGGAGGGCAGGCTTCGTTCGCGAGCAGTTTCTCTTTTGTGATGTTCCAACTGTCATCTGTGGAAAGCGCAGTTCGCGTGACGGGACCCTGAGCTCTGTGTCTGGGCCAGTTGTGGTAGCTCTCCTGGTTTCTAAGGAGCCGTAGTCGTACGTCGAGTTCAAATCCAGGGGAAGCGTCCTGTGGCGGCATTTATTGCCCTGGCGAAAGGCCCAATTCTTCACTTCCGGAAAATCAGAAATTAGAGCCCACTGGAGCCTCCAAGAGAGTTGGGGCAGATTAATGTTGTGGAACATTTTTTTGTTGGAAAGCTGTTCTATCCTTAAGACTATGCTACCTTTCTCCTCTTCTTTATAATGCGATGCCAGCCCCTTTTCTCCTTTTCCCGAAGACGTTGTGACTTTTCTGGTTATTTGGAGTTAGAGGATCCATAGTCTAAAATGTCTTAAAGACGCTTACCCTATAGGTATATATCAAACTTCCATTTTGCAGTTGTAATTCAGTACACTGCATTGTTTTAACCCTTGTAAATTTGAGCATCCATTGAGATTGTTTCCAAACATCTTATTAACATTTAAATGCGGCACTGCAGTACTACTGTGTGTGGATATTGAACTCTGGAAGTGTTTTATTGTAATGTTTTTTTACAATCAACAAACAAAAGGTTTGATTCAAAATGCTGTCCATACTATATAATTATAAGATACATAGGGTTACCTGCTTGGGCAGGGTGGTGGGGGGGTTGGACTAGATGACCTACTAGATCCTTTCAACTCTGTTAATCTGACTCTCTGAATTGTAAATTTAAAACACTAATCTAACACTCCATTACCTGTTCCAGAGAGAGGGAGTCTCTGGATTTTAGATGTTCCTAAGCTACCACTTTCTGCATCTCTGAGCAATTTCAAGTGCCAACTGTGAAATGAAGAAGTACATTGGAAGAATTCAGATTTTGGTGTTAAGAAATAGGTGATTTGCATTGTATAGCAAAAGTGTTCTGTGACTACCAAGAAAAAACTTCTTGGTACCATTACGAAACAACCATAAAAATACTCGGATGCAAAGCTACATGAAAATCACAAACTTCATATAAAAACATTAGCTTGGGATAATTGCAGTTCTAGTTTATATATGTTGCAGTTTATTTTCAATATAGTTACTTGCAGAAAAGACAAACTCTGAGATATTGCACAAAGTAGTATTGTCTGCTAAAATGTTTTATTTAATGCATACACACATACAATGAATTTTAGAATAAAGCCAGCCTTGCCACTAGAAGGGTAAGAAGTTTCTGTTATTAATTACATGAACTTTTGACAAGCTCTCTCATATTCTTATTTTAGTATGGATTTAATATCCAGTCTTGTGCACAGATATTTTTTCATTTACATTAGGGTCTCTTAAGCCCCTTGAACCATGATATGGTAGTATTGTTAAGGATTATAATTGCTTTTATTATAGTGATATTAGTAACTATTAATGCTTTTTATAGTATATTTAGTGTAATGAATTACCTTATTGTGTAATGAATAGGTTCAAGTTGACAGAGGTAAAGTTGCACATATGGATATTCAAAAATCAAGAGCAGTTGAGTAAGATTAGACAAGAAAAGGTAAGCAGTAGCTTTTCCTATTATTAGATATAGAATCAGTGTACTTAATATTTTTCCATGTGCATCATGCTGCCATTCTATACACTCATACCTGAGATAAATGATATTTAATTTAGTAGAAGTTACTTTTGAGTAGGCACAAAAGTATTTTCTCTGTTATAGACAGCAGCACCTCTGTGTATAGACTCTTAAGACTTGGAGTATAGAATCATATTTTAGTGGTATTTTAAAAAAGACTAATAAAGACTACAGTCATGTGTCATTGAGTAGTTTTAAATCAAACTTCAAAATATAGATAGAATTATTTTCAAAGTTCATAAACACTTGATTAGCAATAGTTCTATG